ACACAMAAAAATGCTCATTTCCAAATGTACCAAGAATTTCCTGTCGAGAACAGCAGCTCACACTGGACCATTTAGCATGTGCCAGGCCCAAATCAGTTCACACACATTTTACTGGAATCCATCCTCACACAACCCACAGAGGTGGCCTCGGTGGCCTATTGATGGAGGACAGTGACTTGTCCGTGGCTGGAGGTAGAAGGGCACAGAGCTGGAATTGGAACCCAGGTGCGGTACGCCAGCAGGCACCACACAAGGCCTCTTTCATCTGTGCTGGAATCGGTCACATGTGCCCTGTGACTTTTTCCTCTGTTCCCACYCGGCTTCCCTTTGAATTTGGGTTTTGTTGGGGTTGGGGTGGTTATTATTTATKGTCTTCAGAGCATTTTCTCTTTGTCTCTGGTAGATGGGGAATCGGGGGTCACGAGAAAGGGGGAGATGCAGAGGAAGAAAGGAGAGGGACTGGCAAGTGACCAGCACAAAGCAGCATTGACCAAGAGCCGGGGCCGGGCCTGCCCTCGCCCCGCACAGACCCATTGGGGTGCATTTCCGTCTTCCTTCCTGGGGGCCGGTGGCCCCCCTGACCCTAAATAGCTCTAGCTGGGAGGTGAAATCTGGCCACGGAGACCCCGGGGGATGTTTTTCTCTTCTGGGCACACACGTGCCCACAATGATGTCAACTGGGCTCTAYCCAGGCCACCCAATTTCTCTTTCAACGAAGACCAATGACCAAAGTTGGTCAGTCCCCAGAAAGCAAGAATTTATGCCTCGGCTGGCTTCCTGYCTGCAAAGCAGCCAGCTCTTCACCACCCAACCTTCTGGAAGATAAAAACCAACCGATGTAGAGAGAGTCTCAACGTGACAGTAGGCAGAAAGCGAGAAAGAGACACAYGCGCGAGYGCACAGATAGAGGGGTATGTTCACTACACAGGCACGCGCATTAGGGCTGCAYGACCCTCGTCCAAAAACCTGCSATCTGAAKGCTCTGAAATCCAAAACTTTTTAAAGTGCCAACACAAGGGGAAAATTCTAAGCCTGCCCTCATGTGACCTGTCACAGTTGAGACACAGGCACACTAAAAATACCACATTAAATTACCTTCAGGCTCTGTGCACAAGGGAAGCGTGCAAGGTAAGTGAATTCTGGGCTTTCGTAAGTGAATTCTGGGCTTCGTCTGAGGTCCCGTCCCCAAGGTATCTCACTGTGTGTCTGCAAATATTCTCAAATTTAAAAATCCATCATTGCAAACACTTCTGGTCCCAAGCATTTCAAATAAGGAACACTCAACCTACATCCTGTAATGCTGTATCATATTTTATATCATATTGTGTATGCATATATGTTGATAATAATCCCCGCTTTATTCCCTTTAACATTTTCTAGTCTACGATGAAGCAGATAGGAACCTTTGCAGTAAGATAAATTGGTCCAATGACACACATTTCTGTATACAAAGTGTGATGCATTGCTCCAACAAAACAAAACTCCATTGAGAGCAAGAAATTAAAAAAGAAAAAAAAAAAACAGTTAGTAAAATACCCTCTGTCCTCTTGGTCCCAAAATATTTGGACAGAAAGAAAAGCTAGGCCTCCAAGCCTGCTGGAAGCCGGGGCGGTCTGGATGCTGTGAACTGGCTTTTTCAAAGTCACTGCCACTGTCTGCAAAAGCCCTCTGAGTTATCCGAGTAATGCGAAGTATGAGGAATTTCTGCCGAAAAACCAACATGTCAAATGAGTCAGTTAAAAAAAGAAAGAAAGAAATCAAACTTCAAGAGCGCAGTGTGTCTATGCCTATGTGGAGGAGGGAAAAAAAACCACACACACACAAAAAAAAATCAGATTTCTTAAGTGAAACTTAGTAGCAGTTTATCCAAGGGCACAAAGAGTAAACTGTGAGGTCTTCCAGGGATTCACCAAGGGAAAGAAAAGAAACATTCTTTACATTCACACRGGACTCTCTTTCATCTTCTCCACAATGCCTGCGAGACTGGAGCTGATCTTTCTGACAGCACCCCCTGGCCCCGGTATATCCCCTCCCCATATAACGAAGCCTGAGATGACAATAAAATCCACAGCCTCCTGGAGACCCAGGGGAAAATCAGGGCCACGGACKGCCACCAAACAGCTGCAATCGGCACGATCATTCTAACAGGCGAGAGGCTGAGCGGAAAGCGGACGCTTGCACATCTCTGATGGACATGCCCATCTCACCGCCGTCCCTGTGCCCTCTGACTCTGTCTCCTTGCAAAACTGGATGTTCCTTCCCGGCTTCAGAAATGCAAAACCAAAAAAATACAATCAGCTCTTTCCAGCGATTGACAGCTCCCGGCGCCTGCAAAGCACACACATGCAGAGCGGGGTCTTGCAGCAGGGTCTGTTTTAGAAAAATGCTCCATGCACAAGGCCTGCCCAACACTCTGCGACACACCCACCCCAGGCCACGGATCGGACCCCCTTTCCAAGCAAGAGCCAACCGCTGCCTACCCCACCCCACCCCCACCAGCCACAGAGCACAGAGGAACACCACTGCCCAAGCGCTGCCTCTGAGGCGCTTTACAGGAGTCATCTGGAAAATCACAGCAATTTTTAATCTTTTTTTTTTTTTTTTTAATATCCTGCTCCCAGTTGTCCCTCCAAAACACCATGCGGGCAACCCCCCCACCCCCACCCCAGCAGGGTCTGGAAACAAACCTCGGGTTGCAAGGGCCTCTGTGGCTTGCAAATCGGTCTGGTCCTCTCCTTGCCTACAACCCAAGCACCAGCTATGCTGGACTTTGGGAACAGCCTGCCCCCTTCTGGTCTCTTTGGTCCAGGGGAAGGGCAGGGGCTGGGTGGGCACAGCTACAAGGGGCCAGAGCCCAGGCTCCAGCCAGAAGGTATGCCTATGCGCTGTGACTTCAAGCTCTAGAAGCCCACAGGGGTAGATGCAGAAAGGGAGGAAGACAAGAGAGAGGGGAGCAAATAAAATAAAACACAAGCCCAGGATGGCCAACGGCACGCAGCCCGGTAGCCAACTATCAGGAAGGGAAGAGTGAAAAAGAAAAAGAAAATACTTCTATCAGAAGGTGAAGAYTGAGGCGTTGGGAGCTGCAAACGAGGGGACAGGAACTGAACTTGCGGAAAAAAATGAAGCCAAGCAACTCCACAGTTGCACCTGGAATTCCAAAAGGAATTTTCAAAAGAAACTGGTATGCTCCCCACCCCCACCACCACCTTGCCAACTGCAAACCATCTGTGGCTMAGCTGGCACTTAAGAGAACAGAGACACTAATCTGAACCCACAAGGAGTGGTCATGGAGGATGCTCAGGTCATCAGGGCCCTGAGAACAAGTCAGCCAGCCATCTCTTCCCCCTCATTTGTTTCAACAGGTGGTATCTGCACCCCAAAGGTATCTCCTGAACCCCAGGTGCAAAGGGTGCAGTCGGTCCCACTTCCCCCGCCCCAGGACCACCCTACGTGTAGAACACTGGGCCAGCAGGACTTGCTCCTGAACCCTCCTGCCCACCTCCCGGGAGGGCTCGGAATCCAGAGAGAACATCTAATTGTGTCTCTGCCTGAACACATTACTTTCAGTTCCAGGAGTTCAAAGGCAGCGCCTCTGAGTCCCCTCCCCTGTAAATAAGAGGCTGCAGGACACGGGAACTTTCCGGTTCTCCATCAGCAATTTCACTCCACTCTCTCCTCCGCACAAGTGAGGGGAAGACTTCTCCCTGCCACCCACAGGGCAGGGAGAAATACCATCACATCAAATCTTGGGGCTGGCTCAGGCCGCAGGCACARAGAGCCACACTCTGGCACAGAGGGCTGGTCAACTCCAAAGAAGTTTGGCAGACCCGAAGGCACAGAAGGCGCTGTGTGCAGAGGCAATCTTGGGTGAGGGCTCCCAACAGGAGAAACGAGGAGAGACAAGCGTTCCATCCCTACAGATCCTGGGCCCCCCTTCCCACACCGTGTCTAACATCCTTAAGGGACTAAGCAAATCCCTGCAGGCAAGTGGCAYGATGACACAGACAGACACAACCCATCCCCATCAGTGTGCCTTAAGACAGAAGATCACACCCAGGCAGAGCGTGGACCCTGCCCAGAGTTGAAGCCTGCGGACCTCCAGCCCCCATCTCAGGGGCTCAGCAAGAAGCCTTCAGAATGTGTGAAAGGGACCCCTGGAGAAGTTGGGGACAGGGTAGGACGAGGCAGTTCCACACCGGGCCAACCAGATGGCCCCACAAGATCCGTGAAAGACAGTTTCAGAGCCCTGACTGCTCACACCCAACAAGGGCAAAGGACCCACAGAGGTGCCGGGACAGTGGGCTGACAGGCAGCGGTGAAGGGACGCACAGCACCGMGACAGAGGCAATCGGTAGAAGAGGCCCTGCCCCGAAGCTGCAGCCCGGGAGGAGGTCAAGTCAGAGAGGGCACAGGAGATGGCAAGGTGAGAGGGAGAGAAGGTGGAGCCCGGAGGCTGAGACATCCAAACGGGGAAAGGAAACGAGAGGCTCAAAGTAAGACCGGGACCTCAGACTTAGTACCGAGTACCGATTGAGGGACAGACACCCATCCCTGAGCCCTTCTCCAGCCAGGGCACAGGAGGGCTCCGCTGTCTGCGCCCAACTCTCCTGAGACCGAGSAGGCAGCTGCTAGAACCACCCCTCAACAGCGGAGGACGCCGGGCACGATCCGTGCACTCGGGCGGGGAGSGAGGCACCCACACCTACAGGCGGAGAGCAAGTCGGGCGCCCGGCGAGAGTGACGAGGAACAGGAACCCGGCCAGGCTCCGGGAGCCCTCAGAGCGCCTCCTCCGGAGATAACTTCCCCAGACCCCAAGGGGGCAGTCCTCAGACTCGGACGGGGCAGCGCACGACCCCCGAGCCCGCCCGGGGAGAGAGGGCTGCGGGCGGGCGGGCGGGCGTGCGCTACGCTGCCGCGGGCCGTGGCTCGGGCTGGGGGCGTGGGGCCGGCTGCCTCCCTCCCTCCCCGCAGGGCGCCRGCCCAAAGGGCATCTTACCGGCTGCGCCCGGCCGGGCAGCGCCCCGCGGCTGGCCGGCTGCTGCGCGCGGGCTTCTCCGGGGCCGCCTCCCCGCGCCCGCGCCGGGGGCCCCCGTCCTCCTCCTCGTCCTCCTCCTCCTCCGCCGCCGCCGCCGCCGCCTCCTCCTCCCCGGGCTGCAGCCGGCTCGGCGGGCAGGTCCCGGCGCTCGCGGCGCGGGGCCGGGGCCGGGGGCGGCTGCTCGTGGCCGCCGGCCGCTGCGCCCCCGCGGCGCTCGCCGGCCCCGGAGTCGAGGCTGCTGAAATTCCACACGACCAGCGTCTGCAGCAGCAGCACCGTGAGCGCCGCGAGCAGCGCCGAGTGCGAGCGCCGGGCCAGCCTCCGGGCGCACGGCGCCGCCACCATCTTCGGAGCGCGGCGGGCGAGCGAGCGAGCGGGCGCGGGGACCCCGGCGCGCTCCGGCCGCCCCCGCGCTCCCCGCGGCTCCCGGGCCCCGGCTGCCGCTCGGGCTCCGGCTCGGCCCCGCCGCCGCCTCGGCTCGCCGCTGCTCCGCCGCCGCCGCCGCCGCCGCCTCCTCCGCCGCGGCGCGGAGTTTTCAGACGGGCAGGGACCCGGACGTCACCAGGAGGAGGGGAGGGCGGGAGGCGGGAGCCGGGAGGCCGCGGAGGGGCGCGGGCGCGCGCGGGGACGGGGCGCGCGGGGAGGGGGCGCGGGCCCGCGCGGCTCCCGCTCCCCACCGCCCTGGCCCCGGCGGGGGGCGCTGGGGAAGGGGCCGGGGGCCGCGGGCCGCGCGAGGGCGGGGCCGGGGGCGGGGCCGGGGGCGGAGACCGGCGGAGGGCGGGCCGGGAAGGGGCGGGGGCGGCCGGGGCAGACGGACACCCCCRGGACGTGGGGGCGGGGCAGGGGCCGGTTCCCGCCGCCGAGAGAAAGCCCGGGGAGGGAGDCGGGGTCGCCTGGGGCCGAAGGTGGGTCCGCCCCGGCTCCGGGGTGGTGGGCCACAGAGGGGTCCCGACAGCCTGAGTTCCAAGCGGGAGCACGAGGAGCGGAGGGTGCTGCAGGCTTCCCGCCGGGATCTCGGGGTCCCGGGTCGTCTCGGGCGCCGAGACGTGATGGACACTTCGGGGTGCCAAAGCCTGGGGAGGGTCCCGGGTCGCGCGGCCGACCCCTGGGTCCCGGCTGGAAGGAGAGGGGAGGAAGGAGYTCTGAACGAGTCTCGGAGTTAATCACCAGAGCGACTCCTGAGTCACCCCTCCCCCTCCAGTGCCAACGACGTACTRAGCGCTCACTGAGTCACTTCTCTGGTCCCCAGCGACTCACAAACCCAGGGCTACAAATCCAGTTGGCCACCAAGTGCTTTAGTGGCAAAAGGAGTTTCCCAACCATCATCTCAGGCGGCCAGCCCAGAAGTCTGGCCCTGGAGCCGCCACCCGGAAGCCGGCCTTGCTGTCTGCACGGGGTCAGGTCCTGCAGGAACCAGGCCCACTGTGTAAAGAGTTCTGCCCCGTCGTCCTGGCTGACCTGCCCGGTGACCTTGAGCCACCAGGCCCCCTCCCTGGCCCTGAGATTCGCGCTCTGCTTGCTGGGCGAGGGTTTAGATCCCTGCCTTCTCTGACTCAGTGTTTCCGACCCGTTCCCTCCTTTGTCCCCTTGCCCAGTGGTGAGCACATGGGATGGGGTTGGCCTCTGGTGTGGGACTGAGCCTTCCAGAATCCAGTAGCTGAGCAAATCCTCAGTTTGTGGGTCGGGACTTGGAGTGAAGGCTTTGCATCTTGTCAGCTTTGCTTTTAATTCGTCCTCATTTTTAAGAAAGGGGATTATAAAGAGAATAGATCCGAGGATGAGGCAAGACGCAGAAAGAGCCTCGGTGAGCAGTGACCTCGACTCYGTCGCTGGGCCAGGCACAGTGATCCAAAGGTGAGTGAGGCTTGATCTCACCAGCACAGCGCTTGGGGACCAGGGGAGCCACATGTGGGTCATCTGGTGACCCAACCTGCTTCCTTCAACTAGTAGAGATTGTAAACTCCCAACCTGAGCCAGCCTTAGGAGTGGCCAGGCGCCTGGACAAGCATGAGGCCTTCCCAAAAGGCCCAGCACACCTAACCAGGAATGGAGAACAGAGGCAGGCCAGTCCCCTGCCATCTGCATATGGTTTCAAGTAATAAAACATCTATTTTTTTCTTTTGTTAAAAATAGACTTGTGGATCCTGTGACTGAACATTCCAGAGTAAAGACTTCAGGTGAGGCTTGATCCAGCAACTCAAAACTATCGCCTAGGAGTCTTTTTCTGTCCACCTCACCTCTCTCTGCCTTCCACAGGGTCTACCTACTTCATTTGGGGGCATTATAAGATGCCTGAGCTCCATGGCTGAGAACTACTTTTATCCTTTGAAGTCTAGCCCTGGGAAAAAAGCATCCCTATTTCCCAGGATTCTCCTCTCTGATTGATCCGTTTTAAGGTCCTAGGCCACCCCTGAACCCATCCTAGTGGCYGGGAAGATGGAATGTGTGGGACAGCTTGGCCAAAATCCCATGCTTCCTCTCTGGCAGCGGGGTGACACCAGTGTCCCTGAAACTACCTGCAGGCTTTATGGGGATCTAGTCCCGATGGGAGGTTGCACGTGGCCAGGAGGTTGACCCCCATGGGCCTATGCAACTCTGGCAAGTCACCCCCTCCCCCAGTTTCTCTATTGCCAAGTGAGTGGTTGGATGAGCCGGTCCCCCAGACTCGCCATGTCACCAGACCTCTCCTCTGTGTGTCCAACCCCAGCAGAGGGGCCCTGAGGGTCACTGCACAGATGCCTGCCGGCCTGTCTGGGTTTCAAGGGCTCCACTGCACTTCCCCCCAAGCACCAGCCGCGTGCCCGCCTTCCTCCAGGGACACGCTGAACCGTGGTCCTGGGGCCCCGGCTGATTCAGCTCCCTGAGGGCCCCGGGCTTCAGGACTGAGGTGAAGGATCCGGRCCGCAAGTCCCTGGAGAAAGAGAGTTGTTTGTTTATCTTGACTCATAAAAAGCCACACAAAGAAGGAGGTTTAGAAGCTTCGGGCAGGTTATGGACGCCATAAACGGCTGATGTGATATTTTTAGGATGAAAAATTGCCCAAGATGGAAGAGAAGCAAGTCAAGCTCCTCAGGGCACCAGGGCCGTCTCCCTCTCCCTCTCCCCAGAAAAACCGCCTTAGACATTGTCAGGAAGACAAAAAGGGCAGATCAGGCCTGAGTCCAGGCGTGAGTCCAGGCGTGTCGGCGGTGCCCATCTCAGCACAAGGAGACCCAGCTGGTTTGGGTAGTGCTGGGGCCTCTGGGAGCAGTGGTGGCCTCCCGGGTTTACTAAGCCGARAGGAGCAGGAGCAGCCATTTTGTGCTAGGAGGGTCGCTGCCCACAGCTTTCACAGTAGGGAAGGGGAGACTGGGAGGCGAGGACAAGACAGAGCCCAGGACCGCCTGAGACTGGAGTTCCTGGGACTTATCCAAGTTCATTTAGCCACTCAGCAAAGGCTAAATGAACCTATTTATGTGCCAGGCCTCAAAATACAGGCATGAAGAGGATCCCCCCAGGAACTTTCCTTTTTAAATACAGTTCCTGTGCTCACTTGGCAGGAAGCCAGAGCCCTCAAGACATTCCTGCTGATTTGTGGGGTTCCCTTCCCATCCCGAACCCTAACTTGTTCCCTTCTCTCAGTGAAGGTAAACCATGATCCTACAGGGCTGGGCTGTTGGAGGGSCCGGCCCTGAGCTGGGGGGTATGGGGGGAACCGGAGGAGGGTCTTTATCCCTAGGAGTGCYAACAGGTGAGGGGATGTGACAGCAATAGCAGGCCCAGGCCCACTCCCTGCTCAGCCTCTTGTACCTCAGGCTTTCATTGTTGTCACCTCCGCGATGCCTCATCTGTAAGATGGGCCCCGCAATAACGGGGCCTTCGTTGTCAGGATTAAATGAGATACCTCGTTCTCTGGACTGAGCCTGGCACATAGTAGGTGCTCAGAAAACGTGGGGCGCTATTCATTCCAGGAGCAGGTGGGATGAGCCTGGGGCCCCTGGGCAGGGGGTCGGCTGATGGGCGGGAGGTGGTTTTCTGATGATCGTTGAGCAGGTCACTGCTGTCCCTGGGCTGCCTTGCTCTCACGGGGAAAGGTGAGGGACAGTAAGACCTCTGTCCTAAGGCCCAGGGAAACGGCCTCCTGTGGAGTAGCCTCTTGTCTATTTTTATCCACCCCCCCCCCAGCCAGTGCTCCTGCCACGGGGTACCAGAGAACTGGGGCTCCACAGAACTTCTTCTGAATTTAAATAAACTTCAGACTAAGAGTTAAATTTAGTGAAACACACAATTTCTGTTTTTTTTTTTTTTAATCTCAATCATGTGTTTCTTTTTAGGTTATTAGAGTCTGCTTGCACCCAGACTCTGCAAATGGACCTGTCTTTGCTCTTCAAAGAGTCTAAAAATGCCCCCAAAGTTTCACTTCTGCATCAAAGCAGGGGTGGAGAGCAGGTGGCTCACCTGCCTCTGAGCCTCCCGTGCCCTGTGCCGGGGACACCCTCCCGCCCCAAGGAATCTCAGACTCTCCCCAGAGCTCTTGCGAGCTCCAGGATCYCTGGACCTGTGGTCAGAGGACCCAGGAAGCCAGAGGCCCCCTGTCCCTCCGCAGGCAGGCTGTGGAGAGGCGTCACCTGGGACCCCCACTCCCTGTCCCCTGTTCCYGAGAAGGAAGTGGCCTCAGGCCAGAGCCCGGCAGAGACTCCAGGCGCCCAGCTGTGCRGCTGAACCCGGTGGGTTTCCAGGCGCAGCCCAGCGCATCAGCAGAGGGAGCTCTAGGTAGCAACTTTGCTCTGACAGYGGTTTCCTGCAGAAAAGATCCCGTGACCTGGAGGGAAAGCAGGGTCCTGAGCAGAGCTGGTGTCCTGCGTGGGTGCCCAAGGAAAGCTTGTCAGTTTGCAAGGACGGGGGTCCCGGGTCACGCTGGAGGGGAGAGGGCGAAGGAAGAGACGCAGATGGAGCAGAGCAGAGCCTACCCCACTGCCCCGGGACTCTGACCTTGCTCTCAAACAGCACCTTGACCCTGCGAGGTCTCAGCCTTGACGGGACCCCTGCCCGGCTCTCAGAGGGGACAAGTCCACATCTCAGACTAGATTGGTGACATTTTCCTTTAAAATACATGCTAGTTGTGTGTGTGTATGTCCGTGGTGCCTAATCTGACCCTTTGCTCCAGGCCTGACTGTACCCATGAATAGCGCAGTGAGAACAGTAGCAATGACTTTGAGAGTAAGAAGCATTTATTGAGCACTTGCTGGATGCCAAGCTCTGTACCACAGACTTTAACCAAGCACATTCACTAAATGTTTATTGAGAAACTAGTTAGTGCACAGATCGGGGCTTATGCTGGGGATGGATGGGAATTCAACCACGGA